ATTGTATAGGCAAATGGAAAAAAAACTAAAAGCGAAACTAAGTTGAAGAATGCTCACACAATCTAACAACAAACACATCCTCTTCCATATTTGCAGTCATCAGTCTACACATGTAGACGCATGCATGTAGACACATGAAAAGTTAAACACACGAAAATTTGTCAATTTAGCCACACATATCATTATCTGATAATTCGTACATAAGGATAATTAAAAAGTTTTTATATTCTAAAACGCGATATCACCAAGATTACTCATACAAGCGCAACAAGACAGTCTTTAATATATAGAATGATATAGACATATTTGAGAAAATACAACAAAAAGTATTTTTGTAGGAGAAAAAGAAGAAATATACTTGGAAGCAAATTTATTTTTGTGAGTTTTTTCAATCTGTGATGGATCTGTCGACTCTCTGTAGGTCTTTGATTTTTATGTTTCAAATTTAACAAGGTTAATATCGTACTGTCGTCAGCTTACTGTGTTGTTGTTGTTGCTGCTTGGGTTGTAGGAGTTGTTGTTAATATCGTTAATATATTATAATAATAATAATAACGATATATAACGTTATTATATAATAATAATAATATCGTTAACAAGGTTAATATCGTACTGTCGTCAGCTTACTGTGTTGTTGTTGTTGCTGCTGGAGTTGTAGGAGTTGTTGTCGTCGTCGTTGTTGCTGTAGGTGTGGTTGTTTTTGTTGTTGTAGGTGTGTGAGGTTTAGACTATTTCTGTTGTTTTTAAAGTTATTTATGATGACGGTGTTGTTATGCCTGTTGTTGGTGTTGTAAGTTTTGATGTTGTTTTGTTTTAGTTGTTGATGTTGTTAGAATGGGTGCTCAAGTTATTGTCATTTTTGAACTAGCTCTGCAGACTACGTTATCTATTTTTTGAAATATTTTAAAAATACTTGTTCATAAAAAATGTTGTTAATATTTTGATTGGATATCTTTTCAAACAACGAAAAAGTTTTTAAATTTGAAATTGGAATATCAGTCTAAACCCTTTTGGAAAGTCTTTTGTTATTGTTTTTCTTGTTTTTGGTTCAATTTTGCTATTTCATTCAGGTTGTATTTAACGTTATACATGTAGGAGTTGTTGTTTGAGGAGCATAATAAATGGCCCTGACATGATAACTGATAATCTCCCGAGATTCCAAATTTCAAAGCATGGATGTTTTCTAATGCTACGATATGAATAACTGAGTTGCGCATCGTCTGGTCATCGTATGAGGACATTATTCATACAGCTTTCTCTTTCTACTCTCAACGATGTATCGTGAACAATTTTTTCATTTCGAATGACAGAAATTTTTTCAAGTTTTATTTTAGAAAAAAATATGAACAAAAGACACAGTTAATTTTGTATCTTGATTATAATATAAAACATTGTTAAAGAATATGTTAATTTATAATATATAAAATGTAGAATATCAACAAAATTCAATTTTTTTGTTATGGCTTTTTTTAATTTTATACTATTCTTTAAATGACCAGTCGACGAGATGGAACAGTTACAGCTGAAATTTAGTTTGGTGTGTTTAATACTCTCAAGTTATGGTAGTTGATGAAACATTTCCCTGTACAAACGTAATGAGTACGAGAAACATTTTTTTGATATTTTGAATTCAATGGTAATCTTATAAAAACTGAGAATTTTAAAAAATTTGCTAATTGGTCAGCATTTTGATGAAATGAAATGAAATTTGTCAGCAATGATGAATACGAAAATGATTTTGGCGAAGATAAAGTTAAATGATGATAAGGATGATTGTAATGATGCGAACCTATCAAACTCTCAAACTCTTCGTGGTTTGATTTAAATTCTGCAGCCTTCCTTCTTACGTAATTATACTCCGCCCTATTGTTCAAATTCAAAATTGAAGAAAGAATAACATCACACGGTCAGACGCCAGCGCGGAAGTATCCCTTAATGCCATCTGGCGATGTAATTATTTTATTTCTAATTAATAATATATTAGTCTGTCATGGTAGTGAATTGGTGAGATATGTAGAAACATGGATTTTTTTCAAATGGAAACAAATTAAAAATTCAAAAAACAAATTCTTCACAACTTTAAGCCATTCTGTTTTGTTATTTCACTATTATTAGATGATTGTAGCTAAAACTACATTACTCTCATGCTATAACATGCGTCATATTTGGCAATACACGCATTAAATTCCTATTAATTTGTGACTGGAATCAAGCCGATGATATGAAAGCACAGTATTTAAACGTCGTTAAAAAATGGACGATGCCTGTCAAAAAATAAAACTATTAAACAACATACAGATCTTACAATACATACACATGCCACACCCACATAGGCACACATACACACATACAATCACGCACAAAGAATCAAACAAACAAACAAACAAACACAGATCCACAAATAATTGGTTGGTGCTCTACCCATGTATAAAAATGTTGTTCAGGTAGATGTATGTGTAGTTTTTATTCCGTGAATCATTTGACGCAGACACGTTAATTTAAACGGAGCCTAATTTTAACAAGCATTGACAATTTGAAAGGATTACATTTTATCCTGTCTTTGTTTTTCATCTAACTAGTTTGGCTCTTTTAGTTTTTCATGTTTTTGTTTCATTAAAATCTTTTTGCACCGCAGTAACAATATGGCAAATAAGGAATAGTACAAGCACGACAAAATTTTTAAACGATATTGAAATGTTTTGTATGTAAACAACGTTAGAAAAAACTATATGATGTAAGCAAGTGTATTATGTTTCAACGGTTTTCTGTAAAACAATATGCTACATTAATCAAATACATTTAGGAAGAATAGTTTTTAGGTATTTTTTATGAAAAGAGTTTAATTGCATAATATAAGCTGATAACTGAAACCAATGACATGATTTTTAACTCAGCGTCGGCAGAACAACACTAGTTATCAAATAATTGAAAAAGATTTTTCTATCACCTGTCGAAAAATAAATTGAAAGATTTTAAATGCATTTATCGTATGTTATAGATTTTAATTTTGTCATAAATTAATTTTATTTTCAACATTTACCAAAACGATTTCCTTCGAATTTTCTAAAAAAAAAGTTATTTCAAACAGACTTGAAATTGTCTCTGATAAATTTACGACGCAATGACCTTGTTTCTCTTTTTGAAATTTCAACGTAACCAACGTCAGTGCGTGTGTAGTGCAATTGTGAAGGTACACGCAAATTTGAATAAGAAACAGTAAAACTTCTTTAAAATGTTCACCCAGTTTTTTCTCCTCAGGATTAGTAGTTTTAAGTAGAAGACATAAATTTGCCGGAACGATGGTACTTGTAAATTTTTTCCGCTAAGCTCAACATCAACAATTTAGCTGGCGGTCATTTCAGGCATTGAACTGATTTATTGAACGTTACAGACAATGAAAAATAAAATGTTTTTTTTTATTTTCATTGACATTCAAAATAACTGTTTTAACGTTCTGAAGAATTTGTATAATCAGATGATTCTTTTATTTCTGTTTCTTAAACAATTTCACAATTGTTTTCAAACGTTTAAAAACATCATTTTATTATATTATAAAGCCTCTCAATTGTTTTTAAAAACAAAACATCAATGAACACGAAACTTATTTTCTAACGATTGTTGTCAGGAGATAAGAATTTTTTTTTCAAAACAACAAATCTCTGAGAACACAAATTTATATACATCTTTCAAAAGATCATTTCGTTCTATTTTATTTGGGAGCATGTGCAAACTCGTGCATGCTAATTCATTTAATTGTTAAAAACACATATAAAAGTTAACCTTCTAAAAAACAACAACTATTTCACATCATAGAGCTTAATTACTTTCAACACGTCAGTCGCATCAAGAGAAAGAGCAATTCTTCTAATTCCTCAAAAAAACTGCAGATGGCAATAAATATTGTGATGTTTCAAATGTTTGTGTGTACAGCCAGATATATAGCTAATACTCATAGACACCTTATGTTAGGGACTCACCGCGCTTTTTAAATTTTTATAAACTTGGTTTTTCAAACATGGGTTCATAGCAAATCATAACTTAACTTGGCTTTGTGGCTTTAAAACAACTGAATTCTTTTTAAAAACTACGTTATATCAGGTAGAAATCTAACAGTGCGTGCGTTGAAGTCAATCTTGGTTTATAACATGAAACAGATCAAATTTGGATGAAGTCGTAGCAATAGTATGTGAGGTACTTAAATGTTATTGTACTGACTTTCTTATGCGACTCTAAATACCCGTAAAGTTATTTTTGATAGTTTTGAATTAGGTTTACTTTTTTATGATAATAGTTGTTGAAATGCGACGGAATAATAAAAGAGGAATCAATCAATCATGATCGTGTCAGCATCTGCTTGCCTTGCTGGCTGAGCATCGTTCTGTGAATTAAATGTTTGTATTGCTTGATTGCTTTCTATAAGATCTGCCAAACCTAACGACGATTCTGTAAACAAATTTATTTCTGTCAATAGCATTCATTATTGAACATTTGTAGACACTTATTTTGCAGTATTGGTGGTAACTCAAATCTCTATAAACCTAGAAAAAATATGATTCATTGGTAAACATATTTGTGGATCGAAACAAGTGAACCATTAAGATAAACAAGTTTATGTTACAAACGATTCCTCCACATGTTTCAATTGTATTTTTTTTTTATATTCATTTTTCTATTCGCTAAACTCATTGATAGTTTTAATGTTGAAAACCACTTATATTTTATAAGTAGAAACTACAAACTTGAGATAAATTCAAATAGGCAGACCTCATTAGAAGTGGAGTGAATACTCTGTTTTGAAGCAGTTAAAATTGAAAAATTAACTATATAAATAACTATGATTATACAAATTTTTAGCATTTATTTTCCGTTTTGAAACTAAAAAATGTGATCTAAACATCAAATTGCAATACACTAGTGCTGACGTTTTACGCTGCAAAAATGTTGAAATTAATAAAAGAATATTTTTTATAATATGTTTTAATATATAAATAATTTTCCAGTTGCGAAAACAACCCCGACCGAATAATCATAAAAGATGGTTTTGAACCAGCATCACCTGTGATAACTCAATTCTGCAACAGCAGCCACTTCCACGAAGTAACTTCTTCAGGGAGTAAGATGGCCGTAGAGTTTATATCAGACTTCCGCAAACAATTCCAAGGATTTGCCGCTTCCTACCGCTTCATATCACCAACGTTGTTACCACCTTCATCTTCTTCGTCATCATCATCTTCACAATCGTCTTCATCATCTTCATACTTAGTTCACCAGTCGTTAGTGCCAACAAACATTTCAAGAGTTAGCCCGGCAGATGATTCATCGAAGAACAACCACCTCCACCGAAACAACGAAAAAAATCGCAACGAACTCATCCTCAACAATAATATTATCACCAGCAAAATTACCGACAATTACACGAACAAAAACACTAATACGCACAAAAAATGGGATGTAATCGCTGGTGCTGAAAGCAACAGGATGAACAGTAACGTTGGTAGCTACGATGCAACGTTGCACAATAACATCAGCAGCAGCAGTGGAGTGAAAAGACACAACGACATTACATTTGGTTTGTTTTTGAATTGCAAACAATTCGATCTTTGTTTTCTGTCTCCTCTTCGTATTATATTTCAAATTATTTTGTTTCAATAGTAATTTTTATATTAGTGTTTTCTTTCTTAATTTTTTTTTATAAATCGCATGTTCAACGTTACATTCATAATTATTTTACTCGAGTTTTGAAAAAAATAAATAAAGTAATTCATTGTTTCAACACAAACAAAACTTCCACAAGAAAAATCAAAGAAGAAAAAATATGTGGAGAATAACATTATTTAGCGTCACTTATTTAGATTTAGTGTTACTTCTTGCAAGTGTTATCCAACATGTTCTGCTTATTTATCAGCTGGCATTCCTTTGCTTTTTATGACATAACATGCTTTATAGACCACACAGACATTATTTATTTATTTATACGTTGTTGAAAATATTATAGATGTTAAAACATATATTAAAGGATGTTGTTATAAGGTGCTTCAAACTGTACCAAGAACTTATAAACAGTGGAAGAACGGATACATGCTATTTCTGAATTACCAAATCCAAAAATAATGAAATTTATGACAATGCATGGATATGTAGGCGATAGAAAAAGGAAGAATTTATTCTAAAGACATGCTAAAACGCTCGCACGTTAATGCATAAACAAGGTGAGCTATATATTATTTAAATACAGACAGCTCCTGCTGAAATTAATGCTAAAAAATAAAGATATATATATCTTCTACTTTAAGTTAGCGAGCAGGCACAGCTCTTATGATCTGACACAATAAAATTTATATGTTGATAACAAAATCAGAGAATTTAGAAATTATTAAAAAATTAATTAGTGGAGGTTTCATATATATTTCCTTACATATATATCAGCCTACGTATGAGACAATTTCAGAAATGTCAACCGATGTCTTGTAGCTGCATTAAATTTAGTTTTATAGCTGTTGATTTTAATTTTTTGATCTTAGAAAATTACTAAAAATTTTAATCACGATTTTTTTAGCTGACGCTAAACTTTATTTTCAATCAGTTTTAAGACAAAGCAAAACATTTTAAAATGTTTATATGACATCGCTTAACCAGTCGAAACATTCAAATTGAATGATTAAATAAAACAACTGTCAAAAAGCAGTAACAGTAGTTTTTGACTTTTACGTTTTGACAACGTGTCGGAATTTTAATCATTTTGAAAATACATCAATACCTACATTTTAAAGATTTGCTACAACTCAGTTAATCATTCAATGTTTTTGTTATTTTTACAAAAAATTTCCCATTTACTGGTAGGGGATTTTCACTGTAACTGCAATAGAGGTCAATAAAGGTCAATTACACTCTTCCAAAGTTCAGTGAACTGAACTGGTTTATATTTTCTGAATTAATTGTTTGTGGCGATAATAAAACTAACAAAATTGATGAACGAGCTATTTGTTTCAAAACATGACATAAAATCACAAAAATGAAATTCACGAAAATATGATTATTTGAAGATTGTCTTGTAGGTTATTTTTAGAAAATATCTCAAGACTGGGACTAATTATCTTGTCCTCTGGTGTAGCTACAAAAAAAAAAATGCTTGATAGCATGATGTATGATGCGCGTAATGCAATGGAGAGCAGGCCTCGTGAATTTCACATGCATGATCGATGAGATTCTGAAAGACGCGAAAAATTATAAAATTTAGTATGCTGGAATTATAAAAAAAAACATTGAAAGTGTTTGAAAACTATCAAATTAAGATTAAATATTAAGATGACATCAAAATAGTTGTGAAACTATTTTACTAAAAACTCAAATGTTTAAAGCCGCTTATAACCTTTGATTATTTCATTTAGATTCACGTTAAGTAAATAGTTACTGAATATTATTTGACTAAAGAGTCATTATTTACGAACGTTCGATTAGACGCACTCAAATGTTGTTTTGAGAATTTTCAAGAAAGTTGTCCAATAAATCAACAGACCAGAGGAGCATTGCTCCGAAGCATTTAGCGGATTGAGCAATAAATAGAACGCCGGAAAGATGAAAAAATAAACTTTCAGTTGAATAAATAAATTATTTATAGATGGATCACAAAAATGTTTGTGATCAGAGAATTGCAAAGTTATTTTTAGGCATATTAATGTTAATGAGATAAAAAATTTTTTATAGGATGTTTCAAAACTGCGCAAACTCTTTTGCCAGATGTCTTGGAAGGTTTTTTATTAATAATAAGTTAATTATTAATAATAGTATTGTGGTTTGCAATGGTCGGATTTGTTAGCTGCCATGCCAACCACACTCAGCGTACAAATACATATGCAATAATGAAATAGAAATCACAATGATGAAGGTACTATTATGACGACGATGAGGACGATGATGATGTTAATGATGATTAGGATAGTACTAATGATGATGATATTGTTGTGATGACGATGACGATGATGATGATAATGATAACGATGGTGCTGTTGATGTTGTTGATGACGATGATGATGATGTTGTTGATGATGGCTGATGATGATGATGATGACGATGGTTGCTATGATGATCAATGTATTGACCTCAATCTGGAAAACATTGATCGTGGCGTCATTTAATTTTTAACTAATTGGAAAAATCGGATTATGATGCTTAACGCCTCGTTGAGCTCAAAACAAAATTTATCATCAGTTTCATCTATCGTATCGTTCAGCATCTTCATCATCATCCTCATCATCTTCATCATCATCCTCATCATCTTCATCATCATCCTCATCATCTTCATCATCATCCTCATCACATTATTCGTATATCGTTCCCATATTCACAGTCATCGTCAATTTCATTTTTACATTCTTACCGTTATCACCATTACAATTCTCTTACAATTTTTTACATTTTTCTTTTTCAATGGTTTCGAGAAGTATCATTCAACACACATTCGAACATAGTCACTACACAATCAGTACCAGCATCTTTTAACTATTACACTATTGCCCCACCAATCATGTTGTAATGGAGACGATGATGATAATGACATGAAATGTTTCAAATACACCAATGATGGTAAGATATGTTATAACAATAAACAGAGTAATACATGAACATTGAAAATAATTATTGATAACGTGTTTTTGTGCAAATCGCATAAAAAATATTATCAAAAAGCTTGTTTCAGAAACTGTAACCAGATGAACAATTTTGAGTTTTTAGTTACAAAAAGATTGGCATTAAGTTTGTCATGTTTTAATTCATTTCTGACATGCATGGTTTTGAAAGATTACTGAGGGATCACGTACGTGTGAGTCTATTTTTATTACTTTATCCACTCAAATGTCTTTTACATGTCTGAACATTCAGATATTTGCATTTTTCAAACAAAATTATCACCAGCGATGCGCAAAAGCGTTCAAATAGTTCGTAAGATGGCAGAACATTTTTCTCAACTCGACGAAATGAGTTGAATAATGTATTTGAAAAATGTTAGTATATTTTCAAGCATGTTGACTTTTTTCTTATCATAGTTCAAAACCATTATCACTCGTGAACGTCAGTGTGTAAGAAAATGAAATGTTAAACTAGCAAGCAGCAAGTTTGATGGAAATTTAATTTCTAAACGATGGTTCGCTTGTTCATTTCGTAGCGACGTCTCATCTCTATCACAGTTTTTTAAATCAATGTTTCCCAAAATTTTATTTCTCAATATGATTAATTATCTTATGATACTTGAAAATTTGTTTCAGCATGTCATATTAACGTAAAATTTCAGTGAAACATCATGGAGACTCGTCAGTTGTTACGTCATCAGACGATGGTCATGTGTTAAAGAATCATCCAATCATATCACGTTAGTTGCGAATTCATTACTTTTTCATGTTATTGATTCGCCGAAACAGTTTTTCGATCTAGCAGTTGGGTTTTTAATTTTTGTATGTATGACCTATTGTACGCTTACCTTAATAATATTAATAAAACGCCCATCTTAATAATATTCGAATTGATCAGTTTGTTCAGTGAATTACATCGTTGCATGCTGTTTTGAAAGTTAAAAATGAGTTACATAACATTTTAAGAACAATTTTATTGAAATTAAACTTGTTAAGACATCCAATTTTTTAGTTCTTATGAGATTATTACGTAAAAACCGTTTAAACTTTAAGAGTTTCTTAAATATTTAAACCGTTTCGTTAAAATAATAAAATTGTTACTCGAAATTTATGCATTCAACCAATGAAACAGTAGCCAAGAGGTTTCCTCAAAACTTCTCTATATCATCACTCTCTATCGAATGAAATGTATTTTAAAATTCCCGAATTAATCGTGGAACAAATGAATGTTTAAAATTGATTGCATTTTCAAATATAACCAAAATTGTAAACTTCACTACCGTGTTGAAAATTATCGTCCAAATTTCCTAAAAATAAAATTTCGTGTGCGTGTTTAAACTATTTTTCCTCTGCAGCAAGTCAACACCCTTTGCAGCAAACACCTGCCCCCTTCTGAAATGCTTTCAATTTTCAAACTCGTGTTCATCTTCCTAAGCGGCTCATCCCGTTAAACACGCAAGTTTTTTCAATTATTCTCCAAAACAACAACGCCCTCTTAGGCTAAAACACGTTTTCAAGTTTAATTGATCTTTCTGTCTGTTTTTTTCTCTGCTCGTTACCTACTTGCATTCATG